AAGGGGTCCCTTCAGCAGTTTTTTTTTGAAAACTTTGGGACCCCCGTCTGAATAAGTGTAATTATCTAACATCTTGTGTACAAATAAAAACACATTTTAACTTTGAAAAAAAAAAAAAAAAAAAAAAAAAAAACGTCCTAAATCATGAACATGCAAGGAACAGAATTCCAGCGTCAGAAATACTTGCGCCACCGCTTCACCGACCCCTCGCAAGATTGCCTTGTGTCGTGTGGACGGACGGGGAGGTTCATCGGCGGAATTGCCTCCGCCGATTGGTTTCGGGATTTGTAACCCAATTTTAAAAATAAAAGGGACAAGCAAACTTATAAAATATACGGAAGCACGTCAACATCGGCCTAACTCAACGTCTTGTACACCGTGTAAACGAAGTCCAGCTCTTCGAAGAGCTTGTGGCACACAACGTCAAACAAGGAAACCGGTGCTGGGAAGCGAGCCGACGCGAGATCGCGGAGCGGAGTCCTCCCCCTGACGTCACGGTACACCTCACCCAATCAGGGCGCGGCGACCGCAGCAACGCTTGTGTTCGCTCTCGGGGCTAATACCCCTCTGGGGCAAAACCGAGTCCTAGCATATGCGCCTCGGGCCGCAGCATTCACCACCTCGTTTCCGACCTGCCCCATATGCCCGGGTGTCCAGATCAAATGTACCCACTTTACTTTGGTTTTGCTTAGGATTCTGAGAGCTGGTCGACCCACCATTGCTCACACAAAGTTCCTACAAGCGCTTTGTGAAACCGAAATTATTGTTGCACAAGGATTGCTAACTACCGCCAGTGCAATGGCCACTTCCTCTATTTGTTCAACCGTCTGCACCCGTATTGAAGCGACTTGCCTGATCTGCCCTTGCGCACTGGCCACCGTTATTGCGGCCACCTCCAGCACCGGACCGGCCCCATCCGTGTACAAGGTTCCCTCTCCGCTGTCCCAGGAACAAGCTAGGGCCACTGCTCACGCTTGTTTCTGTCCCGCATTCGTATCCGGGTGCATGTTGCGCGGGATTTTACTGATCATGAATCTCTGCCTGACCTCAGCCGGCAGCACTTCCCCTGCATCTCCGGGCCCGTGAGAGTCGCCAGGCACTGCCATTCCCAGTTTGTTCAGCGACCACGCTCCATTCACAGTGGAAGAGTCGCTTCAGCTGTGACATTAGATGAGCTTCATGAAATTCTTCTATGGTGTTATGAACTCCAAGTTCAAGCAGTTTCTCGGTCGCCGTACGCTCCGGTAGCCCTAGTGCGCCTTTGTACGCCTTCCTTATCAGCACGTCTAGCTTTTGCTTCTCCGCCTTGCTCAAGTTCACATATCGAGTTCCATACGTCAGTCCGGCAATAATGAAGGCCTGGACCAACTGCATTGCCTCTTTTTCCTTTATGCCGTGTCTATGGTTCCTGATCCGCCTCATCATACCGCACACCTGCGCAGTCATGGCATCTACTCTGTCAATAGTCGACTTGTTCCACCTCCCCAGTTGTATAGGCTGGCCTAGAAGCCGTATCTCCGCTTGTTTGAGGACCCGGGCACCGTCTATCACCACGTCAATGTGATTGACCAGCTTCTTACGAAAGTTTCTGAAGACAAGAAGCTTGGATTTCTCCGGGCGCACGTAAGCCTGCATTTCTTAACATATTCCTCAACGATCTCCGTCGCCGCCTGAAGCTTCTCCTCTATTTCTGCTTCACTGTGCTCTCCCCGCACCACAGGGTGATGTCATCCGCGTAGATGGCATGCTCCACGTTCGGAACCGCCCTCTACGCTTCCGGCAGACCCTGCAGCGCCAGGTTGAACAGTAACGAGGAGTACCACCTTATCTGGCGTACCCCAGTCTATACGTACCATATTTCATACTTGCCAACGTCAGCGTAGCTGTCCTGTCCGTCAAAAAGCTGCGAATGTACTCGAAGGTTTTTCCCCACAGTTAACTCTGCTTAGACGCCTAAGTATACTTTCAAAACATTATCAAACTCGCCTTTTAAGTTTAACGCTAGAATGCATCTCATGTGTCCCTTCCTTGGATTCTCCAATATATCCTTATTTATCCACGAGAGGATGTCCTGCATCGACTGGGAAGGTCTGAACCCGAATTGTGTATTCGGAAAGAGTTGTTTTTTGTCCAGATACCTCCAAACCCTGGAGTTTTGACTCGTTCGAACACCTTGCCCAGGCAAGATGTGAACGAAATCGGCTGCAGATTTTCTAGCTTTAGCTCCTTTTTAGGTTTAGGTATGAAGGCAATGTCAGCCGCCTTCCAACTATTTGGAGTAACCCTGCTCCCAAAAATGTTTGTTAAAATGGCTTAACTGCTCTTTCAGGTCCCCTTCCCCCAAGTTGTAGAGGAGTTTCGCTGTGATGGAGTCCGGTCCGGATACTGTGCCCTTCCTCATGGCTCTCGGCTCATATTCCAACTCCGCGACCGTAATCGGCCCGTCTAATTCGGGGTTTTCCTGCGGGTTCCAAACAAACTTTCCGCCAACCGATCCATGAGCTGCTCGCGATCTCTCGGCAGCTTATGTATCAGTTCCACTAAGCGACCGTCCATCACCGCCTTTGCCCTACTCGGGTTGATTATTGCCCTAAGCAGTCTCTATGCCTGAGCTGTGCCTAGGCTTCACCATATAGAGTCACACAGGCCATACCAGTTCTTCCTAGCCAAGTCAACCGCATAGTCCTCGGCCAGCTTCGTGAGTTCTTCAATCCTGTTCTTCAGCTTCTTGTTGTAGTGTGTTCTCTTCCATCTCCTGGTGAGCCCGCGTCGCGCTTCCCAAAGATAAGCAGATGCGTGTTTACCGCTGGGGTCTTCTTTGACAGTTCCACTTCAGTCACGGACGACTTGACACTGGCGTTCATCTCCGTGAACCTTTCCTAAATGTTCTCAATGCTAGCTGCACCTTTCCCTCTCTGTCTTCTCCATTAATCCCAATCCGTGATTCTTGCCTTTCCTGTCTTCTTTCTCTATCCGGACTCGAGAATAGTCGTTTCGAGGATACAGTGATCACTACCAAGTTGCTCCATTAGGTTTTTCCACTCTGCATTCACCACATTCTTGACCAGCTTTAGATCCATAGATCCAGACACATATCTCTACATGAGCTCATCCTTGTCCTGGTCGGCTGATCAACCTCGGTAAGCAACGAAAGGCGTTCCTGGTTGATGCTTTCCGCCAGCCTTCTGCTTTTCAATGAAACATACTTGTAGTCCCAACCCGGGTGAGGGGCGTTGAAGTCTCCCGCGATTACCAGCTGGTCCTTCTCCTTGACCACTTCTGCGATGAGCTGCCTGAAGTCCGTCTTGTGCCTTGGTTTTCCGTACACATTCACCACATGCAGACCCCAATTCCACTTTTCCACTGGGACAATCATGATGTGACAGCATGACACTTCACCGCCGTCCAAGTAAGGTCGCGTGGCTGCATAGGTCTTGTGCACAAGTGTCGCGACGTATTGGTCGCCCTTGAGTGTAGAATAATCTTTGATCTTCGCTAACGTTTTGCGTGGTTTCTGCAGCAGAATCACCGCCGGGGGATTGGGTTCAAGCAACACCCTCGAGCTAAGGCTCACTTTTTTCCGACCTATCCCCGTGCAGTTCCACTGCCACACTTTCAAACTTGGCTTCTCTGACTTGTGCATGATTCCCCGTCAAAAAATTTGTGCGTCCCGCTGGGCTGCGCCAGTCTTTCTCCTCTTTCAGTCGAACTGCCGGAAGAAACTCTTTCTCGTCTTTGCTCAAGCATCTCTCCCAACTTCTCCAGTGTGGTGACCCTTTATGCCAGTTGCATCAGTTGGCTGGTGAAGAATTCTTGAAGTCCTGGATCGCCCATTGATTGGCCGTCTCCACGATCGCTCGTACTTACTCTGCCGAGGCTGCCCCGTCTCCTCTTCATTCATTCCGGAGTTCCTCCATGGTCCTTTTGCAGTAGGTCCCTCCTCAGGTCTTGTATCTTGCCGTTGCTGCTTACTCCTTCACCCTAGGGCTGGGACGTGCTGTTTAGCTCCTGACCCTCAAAAGCTCCGGCCACTTCTTACGCTTGCCTTTGTCAAGCTGTGCAACCTACAGCCTCTGCAGTCTAATAGCAAGGCACGTGGCTGCACTCCACAGAAGCTAATGACCACTGTGCCAGGTGCATGAGCCAGAAGAGCCTGCTGCTGTCTGCTGAGAAATCATTGAACTTGGGAAGAATGTCTTACTTCTGCTAGAGTATTGTCTGTTCGTGTAGTGAGATTAGACAGTTTTATAGAGCCATTCGTGCATCTGTAATACTTTTGGTTAGCTTGGGAATCTGCATTGGGACCCGTGTTAGGACTTTGATGTAAACCACACAGGTTCCAATTGCATTTGCTTCAATTGCTGAAAAGCAATTTTGCTCTTAAAGTAGAGCTGAACAAAACTACATGTATAAAAGGAAATCTTTGCAGTAAAGCGTTGAACTGTGTTTGGGAAGTTTGTGAATCATGATACACAAATGGGCAAGGCAATTATGCATGTAAATTTGAAATTGTGCAAAACAGTTTGCTTCTCTGTAAAAGTAGGGAAAGGGTTGAGCATGCACTCAATTGCTGTTTAAAGCAGAAACATGTCATTACTTGTTTTTGGTACTAACCAGCTGTGGAGATGGTTAGGTGCAGTAGCCTTTGCCATTTGCCACGGTGGAATTTGGTATAGTTGATTCCATTTAGCTGACATGAGGGGATAAAATATAAAAATTCCTCAGTGAGGGTATTGATGAGCAGATGGTTTCGGTGCCTAAAGTTGTCAGTAAGCACTTTTTTCTTTTTTTCTTCCGACACTCGTCTTTTTGGCTCAATTGGTCAGTTTAAGTTTTGTCTGGACCAGATGTTTTGGTCGTCTTTGCTCTAAAAGGTGGTTAGGTGTGTATCACTTATTTTTCTATCCCTTTGCATTCTGCTGGAGCCACAAAGGGTTGAGCGTTCCTCGGCAGACGACGGCCGCACCTGGCGGCACAAGTAACTGCTCTGCTTTCTGCAGGGAAGCGCACTCAGGAGACGGTGTGCATCGGGGTGTGCGTGACGCTCATGGTGTACAACCTGTGCCAGCTGCTCTACTATTTCCAGGCTTCCCGGTGGAGCTCCATTGTGGCAGTCGCTTGTGAGTGTGCTCTGGCAGATGTTCCAAGTTAGGCCCACCCAGTCGTAAGAACCAGCTGGCACCAAGGCCACCGTGCATTTTGAAAGGGGCTCTTTTTGGGACACAGTTGGGGCTGCTAGGTGCTGTCATCCATGTTACCCAGGATTTGTCTTTCGCCTTGTGCTTGCTGGGGGTGTAGGTACCACTCTGCCTGTCTTCTTTTAAAGTGACAACTTTATATAAGAACCAGTTTTAAATAAAATAATATTTTGGGATTACTTTTGTTGGAGCGATTTGATTTATATCATCACTGGTGTGATTTAAATCATGGTTTAAATCATCTTGGTTTTTATTCTGCATCCTGATGGGAACCCTGCGTGGACCTTGGTTGGTCGTATTGGTGTTGGTCGTGCCGCTGCAAAACCATGGGAAAAAGTGTTGGCAACAGAGTGCAGGCTTGGTTTGGTGTCACAGTATATGTATATGTAGAATATGTATAGCTTAATTTTAAAATTGCAAGCAGATTTTGATTCATTGAGTTCTGAAATTTATTAAAACAGATGCAGTCCAAGCTTTTAGCAATGCATAATTTATTTTCAAAAACAAACAAACAAGCAGTTCACTTCTCCCAGTTGACATCCAGACCTTCTCCCACTTCATGTTCATAAAGCATAGAATAGGTACCACATATTGTTTACAGGCAGTGGTTTTCACAGAAGGAACATTTGCGAGGCTCACATTCCCTTTCTTTTTCTACTACTAATTTCTGCCCTGATTGGTGGTGCCTTTATTGAACCACACCAGAGGACTATTGTCTCTTTGCAGTGGCAGTCAGCTTCGTAGGGCTTGCTGGAGGTGGGGCGCTAAGCCTCAAAAGTAGCAAAATAGGGAAACGAAACAAGCATTCGCAGCACATAGTCGGTGCCCAAAGCATGGCACGAAGATCCTGGCAATCTCTTAGCAATATAACCACACCAAGATGGTGGTCATTTGGTTCCCTACAGCGAGCTCAATTTTCGTGGTCCCCGCTGCTAGAGCAGATTTTTGCCTAGTGATATTGAGAAAGATTGTTGGAGAATGCTTGTCCTGCCTCTAGTCTTGCGAGCCGTGAATGGCAACCCTCCAAGTGCCTGAAGGCTACTCTGCTTGCAGTGTGTGGAGTGGTGACAGCCGATTTCCTCAGCGGTCTGGTGCACTGGGCAGCCGACACCTGGGGGAGTGTTGAGCTCCCCATCATTGGAAAGGTCGGCCCACTTTGCTTTTCTGCAGGCTTTTTCTTTGCTCGATTATTTCCTGTCTCAAAACATTGAAAAACTCGGCAGGGAAATTTAAAAGCAGCCTTTGTAGCATGCTTCTCGGACAAGACGAAAGTGGGGAATTGTGAATGAGTGTTTGCTCCATGTTTATTTTTTCTATGGCCGGCCATTTCTCTGTGGTCTTCTCACTTTCCACTGGTTCAACAAGCATACATTTTTGAGGTGTCTTAGCAAGCCAGACTTGTTCCTCTTTTAGGTTGTGGTCGGTCAGAGATTGTCTGCCCTCTAATGCGCATACTTCCCTCTAGCATCACATACTTCCACTGCCAATTACTGGAATAGTTTAACTTCCGTGCCCACACTTAGTTCATCTGCACAGTTTGTGCCCCTACTGGCAAAAAGTTAGCTCCTAGGAAACAGAAAAAAACTGGCCGCCTTTTCCCGGCTAGATGTTGCTCCCATCTCGTTGGCTTCTGCCCCCCCACACTTGCTCCGCGTGCTGTGAATTGATAGAGCGATCAGCACGTCTCTTGATTTTTTCCCTTTCTGTAAGCTCATTTTTCTGGTGTTCAAAAAATTGCATGGAAAAACCATTTCATACTGCCCTGCTGTAGATGGATAGATGGTTTATTTAGTGCCTGTCAACAGCCAAAAGGCTTGCAGGCAGTACACTTTGTATTGTACAGAAAATACGACAGTATCATTGCCAGAGGCACAGTCGAGGAATACATGTCGCAACGAAACAGAGTGTATAAATAGTCAACTAAATATGTCACTCTGCAAAAACATCAAATTGTATGTTTGTTGCAACCATGTCATTGGAGACAAAGATGAAAGAGCGTGTTGGTGAAAATACGGGAGTCAAAGAAAGAATAAAAACACTTAAGGACAAGGACAGACAGCACAGTTCTTTCAACTAGCAACACACATTTACTGGTGTCTCCTTCAATAGTGCTATCTTCTTCCTAACGTTTCTTCCTCTTTAGTCTCAAACGTTAGGAAGAAGATAGCACTATTGAAGGAGACACCAGTAAATGTGTGTTGCTGGTTGAAAGAACTGTGCTGTCTGTCCTTGTCCTTAAGTGTTTTTATTCTTTCTTTGACTCCCGTCATTGGAGACTTGGAACAAATATCTGTAGAAAAAGTGTGCAGACACATTCGACACTCCGAACCTCACCGACGCCAAGAGCTCATCAGCATGCTGCGCACAACTTGGCATAAGAATGTCACTTCACATGCAAGCCTCCTGCCATAAAGAGACAGGAGGCGTAGGTCTGTCAGGACGGAGCTGGAACTATAAAAAGGGTGGAGACGAATACGTCTATCATAATTATTCTGCTGTACATGGGCTGGCAGTGTTTTGCTCTAATTGGGAAACTTTCCGTGCCCGTCTGGGTGGGCCCCTGTATACCTGACGGCAAGTTTTTGAACCCCGGCCCAGGCATTCATCCGGCCCTTCCGGGAGCACCACATTGACCCAACGTCTATTACACGGCATGACTTCATCGAGACCAACGGGGACAACTTTATGGTGCCCATCCCAGTGCTGGCTGCCATGGCCTGGGGCTTTGCCAGCTGGAGGCCTCAGGACATCCTGGCGCGCTACCACTGGAACTGCTTCTTGTTCCTCCTCGCACTCTTCGTGGCCTTCACCAACCAGGCAGGTGGCCCCGGAAGGCCTTCTCAGAGCGGGACTCTTTTGGCACTCGTCCCAGGGCTGTCTGGTTAGTCACGCAGTGGTGCGGCAACGGAAGAGCCCGAGGATGGTGTCTTTGTGTCCCCATTTGCTCAATTTGCACATGTGCTAAAGAAAACACCTGTTGGTAAGGGTCTGTTAAAGGGGGGGGTGCAACGATTTCCAGACTTTAGTCAAAAGTTTGTGGAAGTTGCCCTCTGACACTTCTGAAGTAAAGAACAGAAAACCGATTTCGCCTGTGTGTCCTAGTTGTTGTGTAAAAAAAAAAAAAAAAGATAAATATTGGCATATCACACCTGGTCACACTCCTAGTGACGTAATTCGGGGTGCCGTGTAGGTTCCCGTGTGCTCTCGGAGGACGCTTCCTCTCTCTCTCTTTGCTGAAATCAGCGGACGTTATGCTGCAGCTTAGAGCCGAGCGAGGTCACGTAAGCTTTTCGCCATAGCTCCTTAGGCTGCCACTCGCGGCTGCAGGTGGGGGAAAAAGCTAGACTTTTGCTTTGCAATTCTGCAGCGGAATCGCGACATTTTTTAATGAAGGAGATGTTTTCTCTATCCTCCGGGACACGATAAACAACATAAAAATGACTAGATGCAAATTCTTTTAATCTTAAAATCGTTGCACTCCCCTTTAACATTAGATTTTTAAAATCCAATATAGACACTTCCCAGGCAGGCTCATGCGTGCACAAAGTAAATGGGTCGCAAATCGCACGTGTGGACCGTGCTGAAACTAATCTGCCATGTTTATGGGGGCCCTGAGAATTAACGGCAACGTGGCCGGTCTAGTGGCTTTGGGACAAGCGAGCATGTACCGAGCGACTCTTTGTGCTGTGCAGATTCACAAGTGGTCGCACACATACTTTGGCCTGCCCCGGTGGGTGACGCTGCTGCAGGCGTGGCACGTGGTGCTACCGCGGCAGCACCACCGCATCCACCATGTGGCGCCGCACGAGACCTACTTCTGCATCACGACGGGCTGGCTCAACTACCCGCTCGAGAAGCTGCGCTTTTGGGCAGCCCTTGAGGGTGTCATCTCGGCCCTGACGGGCTGCCGGCCCCGCTCGGACGACCTGCGCTGGGCACAGAAAAAGTGACCTCCCGCCACAGCATATGCGGGTGAGCCCTCTCCCCGGGCTCGCTCCGAGAGCCTGGTTCACCTAGTCAATGACCCTTCGTGGGTTGCAGGACAATGGTGTGCGGCCAGGCCCACAGCCATGTCAGTTGCCCTTTTCCAGGTGGTTTAGGGAATTTTAACAGGTAGCCCCACCTCCATGAAGCATCCACTTTTAGGGCGTCCTTTAGTTGAGCAAACATGCTCCCTCAGGACCAGCATAGGCCGGATAACCCCAGGGCCCCTCGTTCCCTCGACAGGTTGCAGCGGGCACCCCAAGGCCTGCCCCAACGGCCCTATGCGGGGAGCGGGGATCGCCCGTCCACTCGACGCTCGGATCCTCTCTTGGAACGACGGCTCAACCTTTTGGGGCTGCGAGCTATTCTCGAGATGTCCGTCCAATCGGAACCTTTGGCGCCATTTCAGTGTCTTCACGAGATCAGCTTCTGCACTATCCGACTGCGAGGCTAGCTTTGAGAACCGCTTCTGTACGACACAATTTGCTTTCCCGCTGGGGTTCTTCATCGCCTTAGTATGAAAATGAGAGGCTCTGGTCGTGTGGAAATTTTCAAGGGTTGTGTACCAGGGAGATCCAAAAGTAACCAGAATCAATTTCTGCAGGGCTGGCCGTTCTTAGTACCGGCTTCCGCGGCTAGCAGCACGTAGCGACACCCCTTTTGAGTCAGTTTGCCGACTGGCGTTGTGTGCTAAAGTTCTAGCGGTATGTTGAGAATTTTTTCCTCAAGCGCTTCAAAATCATTCATTGTTTTTTTGCAATGTCTGATTTGAAGGACTAGCACGTGGCCGTGAAATGGTTTTATTTTAGGGAAAAACGGCGGCAGAAACTCTTGTAATGCCTCACAGCTTACTAAGAAGATCCTATTCAGAAATCGCAGGTCTACGAGTGGTTTTCTCGCTTCAAAGCGGGCGAATTATTGAAGGAAATCGTTTTGTGAATGTGGAAAGTCCTTCAAATTGGACATTGCAAAAAACGAGGAATGATTTTGAAGCGCTTGGGGAAAAAAATATACAACATGCCGCTAGAACTTTAGCCGACGACACCGGTGGGCAAACCGACTCTGGAGAGGTGCCACCAAGAGCTGCTAGTGGCGGAAGCTGGTACTACGAACGCCCCACCCTCCAGAAATTGATTGCAGTTGCTTCTGGGTCCCCCCCTAGGGTAGTTTGGATGGAGACCAGCATTCTTTTCTTTTGCGACATAGAGACAATCCCAAAAATGCCACCTCCACAGGTGAATTTCTTTTGGGGGCATGCGTGCGGTGAAGGACATACATATTGAGATGCTAAAGCGCAGAACGACAAGGAAGGAAATACGAGAAAGACGGGAAACAATGCTGACAACCGACGTTTAAAACTCCCGAAATGTCGGTTGTCAGTTAGCGCTCTTTCCTGTCTCACTCATATTTCCTTCCTCGTCGTTTTGCACTTCAATATATCAATATGTACAACCAACTAGCCCGTCGGATGATCTTGATGTACATATTTCTGAAATGACCCTGACTGTGCTACCCTAGAACAGAATGTCTCTCTCACTCGGAGACAAGAATCGGTGCTACACTGTTTTATCTCTAGCTGCCAAACAAACATTTCCAGCTAAGATAAGCCAATAGGCAAGGTCTATCATGTTCTTTCTTGCCAGTTGAGTTGCAAATTAATGTAGCAGTCTAAAACAAGCACAAATAGATGACTTCCGTTCACTATTATAAAAAAAAGTATAAAGTGCCCAGAACAAGCTGCGAGATCAGGCAGTATAGACGCTTAGCACACGCTCCAGATTACAGCTGACATTGCAGACCTTCTCGTCTTGCCAAGATACCGAGCCACTGAAATGGGCACGGACGAGCCTCCACAGAGGCCAATGCTGAGGAGAAGAGCACAATAGAATCTGAAATGACAATAACCTGGCTTGCTATGCTAATGAAGTGAACGGAATAGGAGGAAGCAAAAACTGAAGGTCGGTTATGGCGGCTCACACGCACAGCTGCTGCATAACGTCTATACCGGCAAGGATACTTTGACCGAATTTGTGTTACGTAACAATTAAAAAAAATAACTTCCATGAAAACTGTGCTAAGAGGGATTTTTTGTTTTGAGACTATATACGAGGTGCTCGGTTTAAATTTTATTCAGAAATGCATTTCAAGGTTCTCTTGTAAGAGGCTGTCTTCGAACATTTCTCGAGTTTGAGGCGAAATGACAAGCTACAAAACTCATATTCACCGAGCCTGAATCACTAGAAGCAGCGATATGCATTTCAGCGAAATGAGCAAGTTGGGGCTCCCAGATTTTCATCTTGCTCGAGCGTCTAGACAAAAGCAGTATGTATTCGGCACCGAAGTCACCGAGCAGCCACCAGGATTTTTGTGTTTGAAGTTGGCAGTTGGACTAACCTCTCGGCAAAATATTTGTGCCCTTTCAGGTAATTAACCACGATACTTTCATACCTGTTGCTAGTGTATGCTGCCCATTCTCTCCTCTGAGCCAAGTCCTGCTGTCTATGTAAGCTAGTCCCAGCTAGCTAGTCGGTTAAAACTTGTGTTGCTGTCTTAGGGCAGACTCTTGAGCTTTCTGAGCACATTTTGGGTGGGGTGGCACAGTCAGCAGCTGTCAGGAGCAATCGTTTTTATGCGAAAGTGAAGTAGTTGGTGTTTGGTAGCAATCGCCCTATTGGGATTGCCCAGTTTCATGAGCAAGCTCTCGCAGTTTTGACCGCACAAGAAAAGTTAGTGCTCGCACATTTGAAGCAGTCTCTGAACAATGTGGTGTTGTCTGTGCATTTCGGAACCCTGGTTGGTAGACGGACATTTTTTCACATTTTATGATCTCGTATCACAAGCCCATTTAGGCTGGCATTGGGTCAGTTTTGGGAACGGTATGGTAGATTATTTTTCTACAAGCGGCTGTAACGGCCAGCGTATTCAAAAATAGTGCGCAGCCCCTTGCCCGAGTTTTTGAAACACTGGTTCGATAATGGGCTTGCATTAACTGCCAATAATTGAGCGTGGAGAATATTGCTCTTTGGGCAAACAGGTCTTGTGTGCTCCATAAATAGGACTTAACACAAGGCTGCATTAATGCAGATGCTACTTTTCTTTTTAATCCTACGGTACCTTGGTTGTCGGATATAGCAATTTATTCACACACTTTTGGGCAAGTGTCGACATCGATCCTACATCAAACCTGCTTCGATATTCCAGCGTTGGGTGGGACCACTTTGGTCAGAGCCAACACAGATCCCTTTCTTTTATTTATGGAGCTTTGCATTTCTCAGCAGGAAATTTGACATTGGCAGGCCCGGGAACAGTTTCCCCTGGAAATGCCTTGCCCGGGCATGGCTGCAACAGACTGCATGCCAATGCTAGCATCGGTGCATCATGTGTATGAATAATGGCCCTGGCATGGCACGCCAACCGATTAAAGAGTTTCACCTCCAAAATTTTAGTGGCGTGGAAGCATAACCACCGTGAAAGTGTTTATCCCACAAACTGCTCGGAGGATTTTGTGCCACGAGTGGATCATTTACAGCCAGGGAGGTAGTAGCTAGTTTTGTATGCTGCCAAAAACTGAAGCTTTTCATTCGCTGCATTTGAACACAACTAGTTAATATGTGCGGACAGCAACGCTTAGTGCCTCATGACAACAGCCACCGACAGCGAGAATGGCGCTCCAAGCCTTCCGCCATGCTTTGGCTGCACGAGACGTTCTTGTCTATAGCAGTTTCCCGACCAAAACAATCCAAGTTGCAACTGACCTCCTCCTGGCAACTCATTGTGCCCCCAGATAACGCTCAATAGGGATGCAACTTTTTTTTCTTTGGCCAGGACAACAAAGTACACCCATCGTCATCCAGGACAGCCTCCCTTGTACTTACATAGAGGAGGCTACGTGTCTCCTTGCAGTGTGTGCCGCTGGAGACACCAACTTGTAGATATCCATACTCCAAGTGCCCTCAAAAGTCCATGCGACAGAGTGCTAAGCTTCAGTCTTTTTACGGCTACAGCCACATTGGATTCACAGGGAAGTGGAACAAGCATGAGCATCCCCTCCAGGGCGGGTGTTACTATTTGCAGTTCTACCGCAGGATATTGCAGGCAATGTCGGTTCCCCCGCGAAACTGGTTTGCTTCAAGGGCAGCCCGCCTCCCCTTAGTCTCAAAAGTTGTGGTGGTCATTGCTCCTGTCAAGTTTTCCCATCTTGAAAACACTGTAGTGCTATCTGCTGGGGTCGACTTACCAGGCAGCTTTGGGGCCAATATGAAGTGTCATGAAATGGGGAAGAATTTAGTGCAATGTTCTACACTAAGTTTGGAATATCTGAAGACAACTGAATTCGAGCACCTGCCAGTTGGTGCAAGCCCTAGTCCACATGGCTCTACTGTTTGGCGAGCCACGTCACTACCCTGTGCAGTGTTATCAAAGGTACCGGTCAAAACACATTGTGAAACACTAGTGCTTCCTCAATGCTCTACACAACTCGATGGAGGAAACGGGTACTTCTGGCACAGGCCATCCTTGCCTTGTGGCCTCAAAGCTGTCAGTAGGCACTTTTTTCTATTTTTATACAGCAGCCTCTCCACTCTAGATTTTCCTATCCCTTTGTGCAAGGACAGTGCAACCGTTGCATGTATAGCTCGTTCTATTTTTGTCACAATGAAGCTTGTCCAACATTGCCAACTTGAGCAGAGGTGGGTGGGGCTGGGTGCTCATTTAATGGTGGTGGGAGTGTGCTAGCCATTGGCAAATGTGTGAAATGGCACTGTTTTATACTGTCGTCTTAATAAAATATTGTCAACCTCAACGTCGTCGTACCTTTTGCTTCACTGTTGCAGTTTTGCCTGCATTTTCATCCCCTTTGATTCAATAGTTTTGGGATGTAGCAGATTCTCTGCCTGAAACACCTGGCAGAAGGGAAGGAGCTTGCACCAAAGGTGCACTCTTAACCTCCTCAGACAGCCAGTGCTAAAACTCAGAATATGATCAAACATTTTATTTGCAGTAAACAAAGGTCGAGAAAAATTTATACAAAAATAGATTTCCTCTAATTATCACGTGGCTAGCAATGCATTCAAGTTTTCAACAATGCAACCTGTGAATCCCAGTATCACAGAACAGTACCTCCTAACAGAAGGCACAAACCTTTTCCCTCGTCCCCAACTGTCATTGTAAGAACATTCCATTAGAACATATATTCCTTCTCGTGTATACAATCCCCCTTTTGTTTGCCCCTAGTAGAACACTGGGGCAGCAGAGAAGGCCGACGAGACGTCCATGATCATCAGACTTGTTGGGACTAGCTGGCTTTTGACGTGGCGGGCAAACCCACCGCGCACCTGAATCCATTTGTTTGTGCGCCGAGAATTGCACAAACGGACGCAAGCGAGCTGGGCTGGCATCAATCGAGAACTAGACGTTGGCACTGGTCTCCTTCAGAAGGGGTCTCGGGGGCACCCAACCAAACTTGCTGTCCCATCGTGGTATCACAGTTTCTCCAGTAGACGGCTCAAGTGCTCAATTGGGGGCCTGCAAAGGTGGCACCGGTTACACGGGCTGGCACAGCGTCCTGGGCAACTCACCTGGCCGGAGAGCTGGGCACAGTGCCGCACGTCCCGGTCCCCGTCCCTCTGCAGGCTCAGCAACACCTCCTCGAGCTTCCCCTTGTATGGATTGTTCTCAGTCAGGAAGAAGGCTGCAGCAGAAACGTACTAGTTGCACATTGCTTCGCATTGCTGGGCCATTTCTAGCTTTCAAATAGGACGCTTTGCACGCATGATGCGCACATTGCATACTGGCGATACTGCCAATTGGAGCACTGGCTTGCCTGATTCACAGTTGCAACGGTTTTCGGAATTAAAGTTTGAGAATGAGAGCTCGTCATCCAAAGGAGAAGTTTTGTAAAGTACCTCAGGTTAGGAATCTGAAGGCGCTGGAATGTCCCAGAAGCGGATGGACCAAAATGAAACCAAATGGAAGAAAGGTGACAACTTTTCACATTCAATATTTTCATCTGATAGTACTTCTAAACCTAAACAGCTTGCAAGCACTATAGTGCTCCCACTAGATAATGTAAGAAAAAACCTGATCATTGACCCTTTACACCAAGGGTTCTCGAACATTTTGGTCCCACGGAACCCCAGGAAGCCTGAAATATTGGTGTGCAACGAAAGGCCATCACACTGGCGGGAAAAGGTAAGGAAGTAGCACAGCGTGGCCTCGCAATCCCAGTGACCCGACGAGCTCGCGAAGTAATTTGGAAGAAAACCCTCGGAGCCACCGAGATTTGTATTGGCGTGAGTTTTATAGAACCTGCTCTATGAGGTATGCGTTCAACCTTCATTGTTTTACATGCGCGGTACAATCGGCAGCTATTTAGTTTTTGAATATCTGGGAGCTAAATCTGCTTGTGCATTACAACGGGGGGGGGGGTTAGAATTGCGTAAACACGGTACTCTGCTTAAAGGGGTACTCCACCGATTTTTTGAGCTACCTCAACTAACTATATTTTCTGACTCCCCGGCCTTTACTCTCTCCGATATGCTATTTAGAATCGCGAAATTCATAATAGTTATTGCAAAATGGGCAAATGAAAATGATGCAAAAACCAACATTCAAATATACGCGCGCTTTTCAGGGCCGTGACGTCAGTGGCAGGCAGGCTTGCCAGTCGAGCAAGCAGCCAAAAAATAGAATATGCCAATCATTTGTTCCGTGCTGGAGCGCGGGTACTGCAGCGAGCTTCCCAAGCATTCATTTGACACCATGAAACTGCTTCGAATCAGTTTAAAACGAAATCTACAGCCCAAAGAGTGAACCCCTGCCTTCCACTGACGTCACTTTTTCATTGTTGCCAGTAGAGACTTCGAGCTTGAAAAACACGGTGAGGACCAAAACTGTAAATTCAATAACTTCGCGAAAAAACAATATTTTGACCTAATATTTGGGATACTATTTTTGCGATGTTTGTTGGTTAGTTTAGCAAAGTTTCAAGCAAATCGGAGACAATGAAAAAATCGGTGGAGTAGCCCTTTAAGGGAGGACACTGCCCAAGAGGGTAGACTTTTGAACCTTCGGCTGAATATGAATGAAATTTACAGTATATACTGGCAGTTGCGAGGCAGAATGCAGCGCAAAGTTTTATATGTACATTAATTGTGAAAAGAAATTATAGTGGTTTTTTCCAGGAATAAATTGACAATGTTTAGGGAAACTATCGTTAGGAAACTAATATAATACCCAACGTTTTTCTTCGTTGGATATGCAGCAGAGTGCCTCGAGAGTGCAACTGTCAAAACAATTTCCAAAAAGTAATTTATTTTTTGCTAGCATCGCTCTGAAAAATCAAATGTATTTTTTGTCTTTGATGTCGTAAAAGACATTCACAAAGTAAAAAAAAAAAAAACAAAAAAAAAAAACAATGCCACAGTTGCATTGCCTATTATGGCTAGGAAAAACAATGAGTGGGACATTCCTTTTGTCTTGTTATTAAACAATAGCTTTCCTAGAGAAGTTTATGCCAAAAAGTGGAACAGAGAAAAACACGTCCACCTCTCTTTAGCATTGGTACACTGAAAATAAATTATACAAAAATAACTATGCAGTGTAAACAATTGAAACTTTCTTTTCCAGATCTACCGTAAAATACTGGGCAAGCGCCCACTCTAAATTTAGGGATCGTCGCAAAAAAATGGGGGATGGGCGCTTGTCCTGTCGTCGATTTTACATATCAATGTACTGTGCACATTTTCTCAGATCTTACAAATCTGGGTGTGGGTGCTTAGCGTAGTATGGGCAGATGCGCAGTATTCTATGGTACTTTTTTTGCAATTTTTTTTTTTGGGCAGTGTCTCTTTTTAGGACTACCTGCACGATCTGAAAGTCTCTACCATTTGTGATGTCACCACTGGGCGCATGGAAATTTTAGTATTTTTCCGCATAATTTTTATTTACCGTTTTCTCAATTGCTATTTTAAATTTCGAGACAATAAACATCATAAAGTGAAGACTAAAGTCTGGATATTCAGAAAATGCAATTTGTAAGAACTACTTGGTAATAATCATCTGCAACAATTTGCCCCGATATGACACTAAACAAAACAAAAAAAAACTGAGTATGTGGAATGGAGTATAGTAGGTTCCGTTTACACCGGGGCAAAAAGAAAAAAAGGTTGAAACATGAATCTTGGCAAGATACTAGAGTTGAAAGAAAGCTTTTCTCCCACTCCCTCATTTACGCTCACGGTTAATGTAGCATACTCGTTCAAACGTCGATTAATGAAAATCGAAGCTTAGCACGTGGGCAGATTGGAGCAACTGAATGCAGCATGGGGACGCACCCCTGTGCAGCACACCCCGGGTGAGGCAGCGGGCCAGGGCCATGCGCACGTTGGGTACCCGGTCGTCGTGGAGACCCAGCAGGTGGGGGAGCACCAGGGCCGCAAACAACTTGGGCGACAGGCACTCCTCGTGCACCATCTCCTCGGCCAGCTCGCAGTAGCTGCGGGAGACCCCTCTCTCAGCACACCCCGGCTACCGAGTGGCTCACCCGCATCCTCTATGCAAAAACACTTAAAGGTACTCCTAGAGTTAACACTGTACACTTCAAGAATCCTCCCGTGTTTATCTTTCACAATGTTTGTACCGAGTTATAATGTGTCGTCCCTTCTATGATGCCTCTCGAGGCAATGCAGGTATTTTAATCAAAAAAGATATCAAACGTGTAGGTCACCTCGGCAGAAAGAGGGCAGCGTCCATTGCAATGTCACATTGTGGTATTTGCCGTAGCCTCAAGCCCCGCAAAATCCCGCAAGGGCGCCCACCCAAAATGAGACAAGAGTGAAAAACGTAAGGTGGCCTATCTTTAGAAATTAGACAGCAAAACTTCATAAAAAATTAGCGATTAATACAGGGGCACCCGCTACAAACCATGTGACGCGGGGACCAATAACACAGACACGGCAAATTCGCTTTTTACAACACAATAAACACGCAGGAGTTTGCAACCAACTCCTGCATCACAGAAAAGGATACTGCACACTGTGGATGCAGCAGATCCATCCTAATTTCTAGGTGCTATAGACACGCGGAAACAGGCTACAAACTTGCGTGCCACAGGAACCGATACTGCGTGCACAAAAATGCGAGAACCCGTTGCAAACTCCCTTGTCACATGTACCGGTACTTCAGATCGCGCGGTTCATGCAATTCCTGTCCGACATTGCGCAATGTCCGACAGAAAGAGGGGGTGGGTGATGTTTTGGAATTTTTTATGTTAGATGAGTAGCCAGAAAAATTGGATGGCCAATCTCTCGGGGAAGGATGCCCTTACGGGATTTTACGTTATTGCCATTTAGAACTGCTTGGAAACTATGTTCGGCTGGCTAAGAGGGGCGGTGCATAATTACTAACCCAGAGATACTGTTTCCCCGTGCCTTATTTGCACCCCTTTCGATTTGACGTGATCTGTCTGGGGATATCATGGTAGGACCGATGCGCCACGTCAAGCCGTGTACTCATTCCTTCGCCACTCACGCCGCCGTGGGACGGGAGTGGAGTAGACGCACCAAAATCCCATCAGCACGAAGCCGTCTCCTTCGACAGACAAGGGCACTCACAGCTGCCGCTGGGACCACTTGGTCATGTGTGCCTTCACGGCCAGCTCCTGGATCAAGAGCTTGTACAGCTGGTAGTGGGACTCGAGCCGCTGCAGCAACACCACCACCTGCGCACCACCATCGCTGCTCTACAAAAAAACCCCACTAGGCACCTCAACTGAGCCAAACAAAGCACTCTTGGTCAAACTGCCAAGACTCCAGTAGAACCTTCAAAGAGCTTTATCAATTGTTACATCTAACTGGACTATACGCATTTGCCCCAGTTTGTTTGGCCAGTAAAGGACGAACGTGACAAACATAGCCAAATAGAGACGACAACAAATCCACTCACTGCCTTGACGCTCATGCGGCGTACTTCGGCCACCTTATCCTCCAGCAACTGGAGCACTATGGGCACGAGGTACTGGTTGATGTCCGTGGCGTTGTACAGCTCCGCGATGTCCTTTATCTGCCTGCATGCCAACGAGGTCATGGAGCAACGCGCTGGCAGAACGGAACCAAGACCAACCTGGCGAGGGCAAAGCGGAAGCGCCAGTTGCGGTGGTTGTCCGTGCTGAGGAACTCGCCAAGCAGTGGGAGCGAGCGGCGCTGGTCGGCCCGCCGCAGCCCCCGCAGGAAAGCCCCCAGGCGCTCGAGGAGGCCGCCCCGCACCTCGTCTACGTCGCGCACGAAGCCCTCGAAGCACGGCACCAGGTCCTGCGACGCTATCTGCGGCCCCAGGATCCGTGCCAGCTCGTGCAGGCACGACGCCACTATGACCCGCACCTTCCACTGCAACACACCGTCGGGCGTCAGACTCTACTACATCTGCTAGTTGCCACTCGCACAACGTCAATTGCATCAAGAACGAGCGCTTCTCAACGTCCTAGCAATGCCTGGCATCCGACTGGTTTAGACAGCTGCTGCCACGTTGCAGCTCAAAACACCAACAGTTTCAAAATATTAATATAAAGCAGACAAACTAACCACACCTCAAGCACAGTCACTACAAGTCCTTTGCACTAAAAACCAAGTGGATAAAGCAGCTCAAATTTCAATTTCATTGAGCAAACTTTCAATCGTGTCGGCCTCAAAGAATCGTACGCTGCAAGATTACGGTTCCGACATTACGCCGAGCTATGATGGCAACGCAAGAAAAAGCGTTTTCAAATTGAGAGCAAAATTACGAGTGCTCAAAAGTCGCGTGTATTCACTATCGATGCGAAGGTGACCGACAGAGCAGGTAGAGGAACTGCCTTCTCAGACAGGCAGTGTTCCCCCTCGAGGCTCATCCTGGCAGTCGGCCAAAATCAAGCAGGCGACGCGCACCTGCACATCCAGGGCCAGGCAGTTGTAGGTGTGGCGCAGGCAGGGCCAAAAGTGGCGGCCCAGCGTGAGTGCCACCGCCGGGAGGCTGTGGGCGCAGTGACGGCCCAGCTCCGAGTCCAGGTTCTCCACCATCACGGGGTCCGTCATGGTGCGGTACCTCTCGAGCAGCTCCACCGGCACTATGTCCTGCACCGACACCCCGTCATCTTCACCTTCCTCTTTTGCACATATCTCGATTCGTCTAAGCTCTTCAGGCAAACAAAAAAAACATTTTATACTTTCAGTCACATGCATCTGTGGCCAAAGACCCACAAAACTATTCCTATTTTTGTACGAATACATTACCACACAAAACTATTTATGCCAAACACCCGAATTACAAACCACAAGATCACAATAGTCAACATAAAATGGCTTGACACACTCCCCCAGGACAAAAAAGCTTTACATACACAAAAAAATTGATGGAAATAACCCTAAATTGTCTATCATTCTAATGTGTGCATTAGACAGGACACACTGATGCACTCCCAAAATTTATGAACACTATAGAGACAAATTCACATTTATTCAGGTCTCGAGTGTGAGATCCGAAAAGAAAAATGTTTTTTTTAAAGAAGCTGTGCAACGATTTTAATGTTGAAAGAATTTGCATCTTCTACTTTTGACAATGTTCATCTTGTCACAAAGGACAAAAACACACCTTCCTTCGAAATGTTGTGATTCCACCGTGTAATCGCAAGGCAAAAATGATAATATTCCCCGACCTGCAGCCGCGAGCGGTGGCCATGAAAAACATGTGCCACGACGTCAATGGGGTTGATTGATTGGGGTTTTTTGGCACATCAGCATCTAAGGCCATAATGCGCCAAGAGACGTCAATGGGGGTCTTGTAGAAAGATAGCAAGTTGTGCGAATACCTGCTCGATAAAAGGTTAACTTTTTTTATAAATCTTGTCGTTCCAACATAAATATAAATGCGTCAAAAACCTGGTAAAGACAAAACTTTTACTATACGGCGTTTTAGTGGCGCCATCTATCCGAGGCCAACAAAACCGTCACTATCAGCTACCACGAACAGCCGCCAGAAGCCGGAGGGGGAGGGTGACAAAGCCGGACGGGTGTGGCCGGACCCGGATGAGACTTTCCTCCTTTCACCATATTGTTCGCACCGCGCCCGCCAGCACGTGGTCACGCGGTCGCGAGCGGATGAGTTTTCGCTGCTCACTGATGGCTCTAAAGAGAGCTTTGCCGGAACCCCGCGCCACCCCCATTGACGCCACTGCGCACGTGACTCTGAAGATGGTGAAGGAGTTGAGAGGTGCCGAAAATCTCAATCTTTGCCCATTTTTAAAATAAAAACTAGGACATGCAGGCAAAAGCGGTTTTTTGTGCTTTACTTCAGAAAGGTCGAGACATCAACTCCAAAATTATTTAAGCAAAGCACTGAACCTGTTGCACAGCTCCTTTAAAAAATCTGGTTGGGACATGTGTCAAAAAATTTATTTTACAAAAAAAAAAAAAAAAAAAAAAAAAACATTGTAGAGAGCAATACTGACGGTGCAAGATGCGATTTGGTCGGCAGTCACCTCCTTTCCACTTGTTTTCTCTCTCGGAATTTTGGGCGCATGGAGGAAAGGTTCATAGAGCACGTTGAGGTGGAAAGAGCGAATTGCCATCTGATCAAATACTTTACTAGGGGAATACAGGACACTCTCCTCCTCTGCATTAGAGAGAACGACGGCCACGCCAAATCCTCCCCCGGTGAACTGGAGGTGCTGGCGACACCCTTCCCCACACACCCTCCTCTCGCCGCCAGAGCACGTGACCAGGCGACTCCTCTGAATGCGGTGCGGTTGATGGTGTTTCGGATGCGAAGACAGTACCGCTGCCACCGTCACGCGTGTATCCGCGGTTCTTCATTGTTGACTTTTTCTATGTCACGCGACACCATCCATGGAAGATTTGTTTTGTGACATGCTTGTTACAATTAGGCTGTTTAAAAAACACTGACAATTCATTTCGTTTTGTTCCCTTGATCTTTGTTACGAGACTTCAAAGGTGGTTCTTTTCTAGTATATTCAAAATAGCTCTTTTTGTAGTTGTTGCCCATCTAACAAATAAAAAAAAAAAAAAATTATTTGCAGTTACTTTTTAAGGAAAGCACACTTTCAAAGCGAGACGGTGCACGCGAAGTGCCTGGTCTATTTAAAAAGAAACTTTGTGAACATTGTTATCTACACTAATGTAAAAAAACTTCCAAAAATAAACTGTGGCTATCCAGACCCTGTCAAGCTGGTTTTAGCACTTTTTTTTTTTTTTTTTTTTTTGTCTGGGAGATTTTTTTAGCATACGCGTGGAAAAAAAAAAAGGAAGATTTGCAGTTGAGTACATGTTAGGCAGAGAATTCCTGAAAACCTGCATTCATCATTCTTTGTTTTTTTTTCCTCAAGTTCGAGATTTAAGAAAGAATATAGCAAGAAGATTTATAAATCCCTCCAATCAGGTACAGCTGAGCATTCCTATAAGTGCAATTTTATGTAAAACGTGTCATTTACTTGCCATCCTAATGTAGGCACTGGACTTTCTAAGGCAGCTGTCCATAAATAGCTAGACTAATATTAGCTTAGAAATAGACGGGTGGATGCTTGGAAGCCACCTTGATGAGCTCAGCTGGATGTTCGCTTCAGCATGCTGCAGTAGTGAAAGGCGTGGAGAAACTATGCAATATTCTATGAGAAACTATTCAATATTCCATCGGAAAATATCCGGCCCAAACCAGTACTCGCTTGAAACTCAAAATATTCGCACATGACTAAAACCATATTGCGGCTTGCGATCCATGCCTCACCCTCACACGCTCTAACGGAAGCGCAGTATTCACAGAAATACCAACTTAGGGCTCCAATAATTCCGACTCTGGGTACCATAGAGAAGAGGTGTCACCGACGGGCTCCCCAGACCGTCCCCAAACTGTGCCCCACCTGATCATTGGCAGACCAGCTGTCCAAACTGCTGTTCGTCGACTTGGAGAGCAGCGCCGTGCTGGCTTCCTTCAGCTCGTTCACCCGGACCTTGCGGACACCTGCCCAAAGCCGCCCTGCCCATTAGTACTAGATTGACCGCACCGTATGCAAGCCTCCCTGGTGCACCTAGTCTGCCACCATCTGCAACTCGTGCGAGCAGTCCCCAAGCAGAAAAGCAACTCTCTAGCGTCCGTCCTGCACTCTAATGCCCAACTAGAGCAACAAACGGAAGCTTGAAACACAAACATCGTGCATGCGACTTTGGCAGGCTTGCAATCCTTACTTAACGAGCACAGAGAGACCCAAAGCCTGCCAAAGGTACCATCGCGTGCATGCTGCACCTGTTTGTGGCTTTAGAGGGACTCTGGCATCTCACCGACTTAAAAGCAAAATTAAACTTTTTTTTCGCCCTTTTATGCGCAACTGAAGTGCAGCCTAATGAATGAGTATCTATTTTTTTTCGGACTGTCTCCTAATAAAAACGATAGGCAATTGTATAAGCCAGGTGTGACTACAGCTTAGCGACGCACCCAAAGCCTTCCTGCGACTTTAGTTTTTGTTTTTGTTGTTTTGTTTCAAAGGGGTAGACGAAAGCAAGAGATAGTGGGGATCGTGTTTGTCAGTCTGAATCCGGTTTAGGTTTGCAGCAAGTTGATCGCTCGTGTGTGTCCCTTCATTCAAGTCCCCTTTTCCTTGGCCCTTTGGGAGATAGGTGTGTCGCCTAGAAATATGTTGTTTTTTTACGTGTTTTTGGTTTAAAGGGGGGGGGGGGGGGGGTGCAACGATTTCCAGACTTCGGTCAAAAATTTGTTGAAGTTGCACTCTGACACTTCTGAAGTAAAGAACAGAAAATCGATTTTGCCTGCGTGCGCTAGTTCTGTAAGATAAATATTGGCATTTCGGGCACCCCTCAACTCACTCCCAGTCTTCAAGGTCCCACCTGGTCCCCCTCCTAGTCACGTCATTTGGTGTGCCGTGTAGCTTCCCGTTTGCTCTGTCGGAGGACTCTCCCCCTCTCTGCTGACATTAGCGGGCGTTGTGCTGTAGCTTAGAGCAGAGCGAGGTCACTTAATCTCACCATAGTTTTTTCGGCTGCCACTCGCGGCTGCAGGTGGGGGAAAAAGCTCGACTTTTGCTTTGCGATTATGCAGCTTTATCACAATATTTTTAATGAACGAGATGTTTTCTCTATCCTGCGGGACACGATAATGTAAAAATGACGAGATTCAAATCCTTTAAATTTTAAAATCGTTGCACCCCCCCTCCCTTTAAGCTCGAAAAAGGAAGTGTCCTTATAGAGCAGAGGCTGTGTGTGCAAGGGCTGGCAACCTTGGGACTGAGGGTATATAAGAGAGAGAACTGGATGAACCTTTTAGTTGTGTTAGACTTGTTGTCTTCCTATCACTTTGCCTTTTTCTTTCACGTTTTGATGCTTCATAGTTTTCTCGCCCCAGTCTCGGGTAATTTAAAGAAATGTAGCAGAGTTCTGTTCATGGCGCAAATAGCACAGCACTTATATCACTCTAATTCAATCGCTTTATTCGAATTTTGGGACAGTTCGAAGCCGAGGCATCGTCTCGGCAATTACGCGTCTATGTGGAAAAAAATGTGCAGCAATTCAAAATTTAACCTCTGTTAGTTCGAAGTATTTTTTTTTTTCTTTGTACTCGAGAAGTCTGGCAACTCTGGGAGCATTCTTGCTCAATCCCCCAAAGGTCATCCTGGTGACATCCCACACTGCCAATGATAGGGGGCGAAAAGTGGCTTAGAAGGGCAGGAGGAATCATATGCTGGTCATTTTAGACTTGGGCTAGGTGGCGCAAGCCACCGCCCATTACAAAGGGTACAGCCATTAATATCCATCCATCCATTCATCCTTGCGATTATGCTGACCAAGCTTAGCTCGCAGCAATGCACACTTTATAGCTTTTATCTACTGAGAGTCCTTGACCGTGTGAGTGGCCGGGAAAAAAAGGGAAAGAGTGCGGTGTGCGAGAAAGCCACCAGGCGGCCAAGTGACGCCACACCAGCATGACTGCACATCATCTTCCCACAGAAGTTCAAAAGCCAATGTGGTGCGTACGGAGCTTGGTTAGAGGCATTACCCAGTCCTAAGAGAGGTTTAGTCCATCAAATATATTCGTGTCAACAAACATGCCGTGGCTTGTAGTAATTAGGCATAGCAACGATGATGTCTTGCCGTGCCAAGGGGTCAAGTGCCGCTGAAATTGCTCGTGGCACCACAAAGTACCATTCTGTGTTTCCTTTGGGAAACAAACTGCTGCCCATGAAAGGTTTGCCATTTCCAAAGCGTAGTTAATACTGCGCATCTTCGTTAGCGGAATTCTGCACGTCTATGTTGTGGGATTTCCCTTGCTGCTATCTGCCTCAGAGTACGACACAATGCACTGGGGCCCTTAACTCGTCAAACACAAAGTTGGAGCCGAACGTTCGCGGAGCGCGCCGATTAGACGTCGGAGAAAAAAGTGTCAAGTCGTCGTCGTGATAGGCTCCGTCAACTTCGGCCCCAACTTTGTATTTGAGGAGTTCCGAAGCCCTGGTTGGAACTGAGCAAGCTGGCCTGGACAGAGGATTTCCTCACCGGCCACTTCCCCGGCCTCGTTGAAGGCCACCGAGGCCTCGGTGACCGAGGAGGACAGCAGCAGGTTGCACTCCTGGTCGGCCGTCGTCAGAGAGGACAGAGACGCCGTCCGGATGCGTAGCGACTCCCCTGTGCTCCTGGGAAAACGTCCCACCAGGCTCTTTTGGCACTCAATAGCGAACAGCGCCCCTGGCCGGTCGGGGCGCTTGCTAACTTGGAACGCGCTACTTTCTAGTTAAGATAACTTGGAATAGGGCTAATATTTTTAAACTAACTCTAAAGAGTAATATCGTTAGTTACTTTTGAGATTTCTGCACAAAAATATTCCAAATACGACCACTAAATAGTCTCACAATAGGCGAGTGACCCAAATTGTTATACAGAGAGGGCAGCGCAAGAAGCTCCGTCAAAAATTCCCTGGAGCAAGAAAGCAAAAAAAGATGGGGAAAAAACACCTAAATTTTGAACAACCCTGCTAGGCCAAGCTGGCGCAGCCAACTGGGGGGATGCGGACCATCGCGTCCTGCATGGTACACTGCCACAGCAAACGGAGATGCAACTAAGCGCAGCATTTTTAAAACGTTTCTCTTTTCTTTGACTGACAGAGGCAGCAGAGGTCAGTTTTAGCCGATTGTCATGACAAATGGCCATAGATAGGCTCATTGCACAACTGAATTTCCAAACCTCATCTTTTTTACACTGAACATACGTTTACCTGTACTTTGAATCGTCCAACGCACTCCTGCAGGGTCTCGACTTTTGGCCCATTTGATCCCCAAGTTCCCTTTTGTTTCAACTTCCTGCCGGTCACGTGAAAAATGGGGAAAAGCTAGAGAAAATGAAGTTGTGATATCGAACTAAACATGTTTTTTCTATGAACTAGGAATAATATTGTGGAACGAAATAGCATTTCGGAATCAGGAAGCGTAGTTTCCGAAAGTTTTGTTCACAAAAATTCAGTATTTATTTCGTAAAATTAATATCGGCATATCAGCAGCCACGCAGAAGGGTTGTTTCTTTTAGTTTTCAGAAAGAAGCTCCCTGCCCTCGAGAATATCTGTGGCCCGGGAGAGCCACATACATGGAAGCAGAAAAACATTTGACAAATATGATACGCGCAATTTCATTGGTTAAAACCCAAAATGGGATTCACAAATTGCCACACTTCGCAACGCCATATCGGTTTTACTTCATCCGCACGCTTTTGACGACATCTTTCGCTTGATATAGCCTCACGATCTCGTTCATCTATAGTATTGTTTTTCTTTATTTAGAAATGCTTCAGCTAGCATTCGCTGCAGCTTCTATCACAATACTGCCCAGGTGCATCTTACATTAGGTAGCGAAAAAAACTGGCAGAGAAAAGGAATATCATGAGGTAACTTGAATGTTTTCCAACCCTTTTTATAAAGTAATAAAAAAATAATGGCATTCATTTTTTGTAGCAACTGAAACAAGTTACCCTTTCCAATTTTCAAATGAACTGTATACTATTGTTACATCATAGCAGCAACGTGCCCATGAATGCCCCAAGGGACTATAGACCAGGGGAGGGTAGACTCACCTTGAGGAAACCCCACAAGGCAAGCCCGGAGGACCCAGCATTTCCACACTCAAGTCGGAAGAGAAGCAGCGATTGGCCTGGTCCTGAGACTTGGCACGCACGTGAACTGCAGTAGCCCTGTCTCCCAGGAACTCTATGTCAACCTCCACCTGCACGCAGAGCGGGCCTTTTGGTACCACACGCCACATGCCCTTTTCCAGCAAACAAAAACAGAGAAGAGTCAGCACAGGTATGGTGCCTGGCACTTGTCTTCTCTAACTGGTGTGTTTACCGCGTCCAAAAAAAGTGGTCCCTCGATTTCCGCCTGATGACCTCGTAGAAGTGTCATGCTAACGCCGGTTGCGATCCTGGTGGCGTCCCAACAGCGGGATTGTATGTGGCAGACGCCTGTTCCGCTGCAGGTCGTCGTCCTATGTGACAGTCCACGGAAGCCTGGGCTGCCGGAAATTGGGACGCCGCGACGACAGCGACACTCGTGTTCGCTTGTGCTACTCGCAGTTTCTCGTTAGCATCTCTACGACCAACTGCCAGGATCGCGACAGGCAACAGCGTGACACTTCGGCACCTGCGACGTCATTTGTTGCCTCTTTGGGACCATGTTTGATGCACGGGCAGCATAGGATGCCAAACACACCAGTCGAAGACTCGCTCCAGGCACCATAGTTTAGGGACCAATGCATCCAAAGCGCAAAGGTTCTTGCTCCGACTCAAGCACCACGGAGCTTGCGAGCCTGCGCAGCTGGGCAAAAGCCCTCACCTCTGGAATGGGGGTCCGCCAGAACTGGAACGTATTGAAGCGATTCTCGCCCCCAGTGGTGCCGTCCACATGAACCACCAGGTGTTGCCGGTGGCCCTGCACCGACACGTGGTCCGCCGGCACCGTCGGCTCGTCTTTTCCCAGGGGTGCGTCCGCCGTGAGAAAGGGACTCAACACCTCGTCCCCCTCGCTTCCCGCTTGCCCAACTGCCTCCTGGCACTCTTCCTCGTTGCCGCCAACTTCCTCAGTATGATCCGTCCCATTTTCCTCCACTCGGGGCTCCACTGCAATCTGCCGGGCACATAAAGAATGCTCAGAAATCGGACATCAATGCAAACTGCAGCCAACATCCCTGGAGTCTCGATACATTTGATTTGTAGCCAAAATTCTTCAAAACATCGGACCAAAAAAATAAATAAATTGTATGGAAAATTGCAACAATTGTGTTGGATAAACATTCTTGCACCAAAAAAAAGTCTAGCGACATTGAGGTTGCAGACGCCTACGTTCATGGCACGCTTCTTCAGGTAGTTTAACGCATGTGCACACTTGATGGGTGTTCCTAGAATGAAGCGGCATTACCGCTAATCGGGCCGATAAACCTGGCGATCTTCCAGAGCCTTCCATACCCTCGAGCTGTTCCTCGCCTACCTCTCTGGTCACATGACCTCCCCGTTAACCAACCAGCGTCGAGCACCTCTCCTCCTCTCCCACCTGATAGTGGCCATGCTTTTATACGGTATTCACTTTCATCTGGGCTTCAGAAAATACCCAACACCTAGCTAAAAAAGGGTTCGCGTTAAAACGTGCGACAGGGTGTCAAGTTGGCGGGAAACCCGCAGGGGTTTCCCGCCAACTTGACACACTTCTGTCAGTTGAGGTGAGGTGCTCTTTGGCGGGAAACCCGCAGGGGTTTCCCGCCAAAGAGCACCTCACCTCAACTGACAGAAGTGTGTCGTGACCACCCTGGTCACGACGTGCTGGAAATGCACTCGTCATCTAAATGGTCTAATCACCTTTATGCAAACTCCACTTTTGGGCTTCATGAAATGCCGAAAGCCAAAGAATACTTGACGTTAAAAAATGCACTTGCTCAAACGATGCTCGCAGAAACAGCAGCACCCAGAGTGATCAACTGTCAAGCGAAATCGCCACAAGTGCCAAGTTCACAAAGCATTTTCGGAAGACCTACAGCGAGCACGTTCTCAAAGCCGCCGTCGGACAGCGCATTGGGACTCTGCGAGGCAGCGTCCAGCTCCTCAACAGGAGCCTTGTCCTCCTGGCACTCAGCAGGTGGTGAAGGGTGACAAACAGTACTGCAGGGCTCCCCCTTGTCCTCCTCGCAAGGCACAAGCTCCGCCGCCTTCAGGGGGCTCTCTTCTAAGATCACCTCCTGAGCAGACAGAAAACCACCCACGAAGTGTATCATGTACACGGTTAAAAGAAAGCCCGGCCCAACGCAGCTAAACCAACACGAGAACGATGTGCACAATTACACCGCACGAAGCGAGACGTCCCAACAGTTTCTAACAAAGCAAATTTTGGCTATTCCCCAAAAAAACTATTTACCAATTTACTGTTAACCCTAGATAATATGAAGCTCATAGGAACAGCCAAGCGCTTTGAACTAAGCAAACTTGGAATGAAACACCAAAACCATGCATACTTATTTTAATCTAGTATTCACTCGGGAGAAGTTGGTTTTTGCTCCCCTCCGCCGATGCGCTGCAGTAACTATGCTCTCTAAATTGCAGAACATTTCTTGGGTTCCTTATTTTCTTTGTAAAGAAAAAGCCCTCTATGACGCCAAACACAGTTCTGGTCCCAGGGATATGGAAAGCGGCGCAACGGTTCCTAGGCTTACTACTTGCACAATTCCACCGTCCAAAAGTGAACCACGGACCAAGTCGCATTTTTTTACCTCAATGTATTCAATGGACAGAACGCCTCCACTGACTGGGTAATTCCTTGAACTCAGTTTTGTTAGCCGTGAGCTTTGTGCGACCACCCCACTGTTCACCCCTTTCCTAACTTCTGCATGCATGGTGCCATAACGTACGCGCTCGCTCCCATGCTTGGCTTGGCCTGGCCGCTTCGCTAGCTAGTTCACTCTTTTTCTGCCACGCAAACAATAGATAAAGGCGATTAAATGTGCACGCTTGCTGTTTAAGTGTGGTCCCGGCCTCCAATTACCATTTTTCCACCAAAAATGCATTTTCAAAGTTAACTTTTTTGGCATGTATGATTAATAATGAACATTTTCACAAAGTTTTATCAACACGCAGGGGGGGGGGAGCAAGCTTCAGCCTTTTGTAGCAGGCCTGGGAGCAGCAAAGATGCCCCTTTGGAGCAGTAAAAGTTCTGCTTTGGAATAGCTCAGGAGTCACAAAAGTAGAGTTTCGTAGCAGTATAAGTAAATCTCGGAGCTGGTCACCCTCGTCAAACTTGGGGCTATAAGTGCAGAGGTGTTTTTCTGAATACAAAAGTATCACAATGAAAAAGCATCTCTGTGATGTTTCAGAACCATTTCCAACCATACCCTTTCCATAGGGGGATCGGTGGCCGAGTGGGCTAAAGCGCACACCCAGCTCAACGCGCGTGGAGCGAAAGCTCGCGCTGCGGAACCTAGGGATTCTGGGTTCAAGCCCCACCCCTGCCCGTTTCAATCTGGATGAGCATCGTACCGGCGTGCGGTCCTGTATCACTCCTGCGTGAGCACCTTAAAGACCCCAGGTTAGCAGTCGTACTGCCCTACATCAACAACCGACGCACCCGAACAGATCCAACTCAACGACCCGACCGGCCCGCCGACCTCACCAACCTCGCTGCGCATGCGCACTGTGGATTTAGAAGGAAATGACATAGGCACTCTGTCAACTTCTGGAAAGATCTGTGAAATCCCGCAGAGCAAATTCGGCGGGGATTGAGGCGCTCCGTGGAGCGGACGTTGCCAGAGATCTACGAGGGGAAGATGACCAGCTCGAGGCAGATCTGCGAGCAGAATATGCGCGCTCCAAATGGAGCGCTCAAGATCTGCGAGCGGAATTCACCATAAGTTTGAGACATGAAGATAATGACAAAAGTATTTTGACGGCGGAAGTCGAAATGTTTATGAAACTATTTTCAAGCCTTCAAGAAGTGGCGTCACCAACGTCAAAATAATACTCAAATTTATTTTGAAAGTAGACGTTGAAATATTCACAGCCTAAAAACAAAAACTGCGGGAACCAATTAGGAATTTACATGTCACAGACTGCGGACGCTGCAGATTCGCGCGTCACTGTGCGATAAGCACGAGAGAGCCCACGGCTAACACGCTTGTCACACGTACCGTTACCACAGATCGCGTGCTTGGTGCGATTCCCATGGGACGTTGCGTGATCGATATCTGTTGGGAATCGGGTGGGGTGGGAAAATGGGGGGGCAATGTTTTGGAATTTTAATGTTACGGGTAATCAGCCCAAAAAATGGGACCGCCTATTTGTCGGGGGAAGGCGTTCATACGAGACTTTACGGTATATGCAGGTTTAATTTGTGCCTTCTAACGGAAGATTCTACTTTCGGGACGCAGCGAGGAGAAGCGAGAACCGATCAGCAACTGCGGTCAATCTCGGCCCCTCAATGGACCACATGATTGACACAGCACACATTCAGGAGATGCCTTGTTCCCACGGTGAGTGAGGACAGCGGACGGACTTTATGGTGCGGAAGGAGAGGGTAGTGTGCGCTTGGTTTTTTGCCGTACTTTTCAATGAAGGGAACGTGAACAAAAGCTCGGAATCTGGAATATTGCGACCATTCTCAGCTAATCTCCCTTCCCGACAGAAGTGCCCACCTGTGCCTGGACCTCCTCCCCCTCTGGGCAGTTGGCCGGGCCACCTTCCATGCAACCGCTGCAGCTGCCCGCCTGGCGCACGCTCACCACGCCGTCCTCGCTGCAGTACAGCCCCGTCCGGGACGGGTCCGCAAACGTCGAGATGAAGGGACCCAGGGCCTGGAAGGCTGCCAGGCGCACCTGCGGCCACCCCCACTCCTCCTCAGACATCGGGGATCCCAGAAAGGAAGCCTCCTCGGGATGGCTCGAGCAACTCGTTCACGGAGCTGGCCAGCCTAGGCCAGACACATTGTACAAATACTCCCACGCACCTACGTCTCTACAAAGCGTGTGGAAAAGCAATCTCCAAAGTCGATAGAAACTGGGAAGCTTGCTGTGTCCTCAGTTCCCAGCGGGCATGTCCCGGCCGACTCACCCAGCGAGACTGGTCGTCCAGCAGGGTCATGAAGAGGGGGGCCAAGCTGTTCCTCCGCGTCGTCAGCGAGCAGACGCAAGACACCGGCATGAAAACCTCGGCACAGGCCTTCCGCACAGCCCACGCGCTGTCCTCGCACAGGTAATGGAACACCACCTGTTCACAGCCAAAGAACGAGAGGAACAAGCAGGTTAGGGGTACAGCTCTAAGAACGGTGTTGCCATTAACCAGCTGTCACCACGCAACTGCTGCAGCAGCAGAACCACCCGCCTGTCAACAGGCCCACACCGAGCCCACTCTTGCAGCGCATCTCGCTTTCCTCGACACTACAGAACAAGGCTGGGCTGCCCCAAAAGGACAGTTTCACGTATCTTCTCAACAAAATAAAACATACATGTTATTCAATACTACCAAGATCTTACCAGATTGTCTTCAGTGCACTCCTGACCAACAATGCTGCAGAAGTCGCCGAAGTTGGCTGCACAGACCTATGGGGTGGACGAGGCTTAGAATGTCCAAGGCAGACCAGAAACCCTCACGTTGGTCTGTTTCACTTGCCTTTCGGACGTGAAATGAAGCATCCTGGCACAAGCTAACAAAAGCTGGTAGGAACAGATCAACAGTGGTGTCCTTTCCTAGGTAAGGAGCCATCTTCGTCATCAGCTGAAATACAGACAAAATTAAAATGCAGGAAAGAAAAAACACCCGCAAACTCAGCGTCAGGAAAACTCCCAACCGTCTAAAATGCATTCAAGACCAAAGATTTTTGCCATTTGGCTAAATGATGCTCGGAATAAAATTATGCGTGCTGGGCAGATACACTTTCCATTGCCGGAGGTGTTCACATTGGTCATCACATTGGAAGGTGTTAGGTTTGAGAACACCAGATACTAGAAACGCATGCTTCCAAACATGGTACAAGCTAGAGTAGAACCTCGTCAACATCTTCCCGGTTAATATGTTTTTCCGTGGAGACACAATAATTGCATGTCATTCACCCTCCTGGCTGTTCCACCCCTCAACGCCCAACCAACAGTTCCACCCTCCGGGCTCTGCTCAGCTCCTCCCCTTCTTGGCACATCACCTTCAACACGGCTTAAAGGACTTTTTCACACATAGAGTTTTTCATTGTGCACCACGCACACATTAGGCTTCATCATTTCGCACGGGCACACGCGTTGAGCCTCACTGCACTGACGGAGGAGAGCCAGAGAGTTAAATCAATGGGACCCCAAATCGCGCTCGCTCCTTGAGGTCAACATTCCTTGGCAATGATCATTCGCAACTCCAACGCCCTATAGATGGCGTGGCAGTAGTTTCAAGATGGCGGAAGAGACGGGGATAAACTTTCCGTGCACTTGCTCGCCGATTTGCTGGTCAGTGTGCTTAAAGTAATTTATTTGGCTACAAATGCAAAACGGTCAGGACAGGAGCGTGTCGCAGGTGACGGAGATGTTGACGTACGTTAGAAAAACCAGCATATTTTTTTTTTTTCAAAGTTCTGGAAACATCACAGAACGTGCGACGCTTTGTGAAAGACGACAGTGTTTTGGGCGCCAGTTGCATCATTGTGTGTGGTAAAATAGTTTTGTGGGTAGTGAAAACATTGTGGTGTTTGCACTCAGCATGGCCACCAGTGCTCTAAAGCATGCTGCGCATTTTGACCATCAAGCTCCGGCAGAGCAGCGTTCACAATATTGACGTCTTTGCTCGGAGGCTCACTGCTGCGGTTTTAGCGCATTGCAACACGTGATCGACCTGTGCCATGGGTACTAATAGGCAGTTACGGCAAAGCATTGCGACCAGAGGTTTGCACCTTTTAAGTTTCGGTGTGTGCCACGAGCGTTGCCGTGCCTATGGTAGCCTGCGGCAACGCACAACTGCATAATCTACGAAAGGTTCCTAATGAAATTAGACATCCAGGCCCCTTCTTGCAATGCTATTGCGAAGCAGACCGCAACTATTTCCATTTTAACCCATTTGCTTTTTCCGTGAAAACCACACGATGCATGAACACGTTGACCAGAAGAGCAGCACCGAGGACAGCTCCGCCGCCGTCCCTGCTCCTCTGGTTCTTTGTTTGTCCGCAAAAGATGAGCGGCGGGCTGGAGTTGCGAATACAGCCTGTACACTAAAGCATCAATCCTTGTTCGGGCAGTCCGCAAAAAGTGGTTTCTCGACATATCACTCTGCGATTTACTGCAGAGGTGCAGCTAGGTGGTGCACACATCAATGGATACCTCGTTTGAGACAGAAAAAAGAACAACCTGTTAGGGGCAATCTACGTTTCCCGGGCGACGCAGACTGTGCTCATCGACTCTGAGACTCTGTCAACAGACGACGCATGCATCCAAAGCCTCGATAGCAGTTCTTTCATGCAGACGCCGTCCGACGGCAGCACCGTAGATTGCCCCAAAAAGGTGGTTCTTTTTTCTTCCTTGAACGAGGTATCCGCTGATATTTTAACTCCACGCGTCCACCACCTAGCCGCACCTCTTTAGTGAATCCCAGCGCAATACATTGAGGAACCGATTTTGGCCGACTCTCCAAAGTCGGATCGAAGCATCGGTGTACATGCTGTAGATCGAGGCATAACAAAAACTAAGTGGACACATACCAGAGTAAGTAGGCTAGTTCTCCGCAGGTGCGAGGTCCACGTGAAACAAACCACTGTGTAGTCCCGCGAGAAACATGTCAACGAGGTTCTACGCCGATCTCAAAACGGAGCAACCGCAAGAGTATCGCTGCTCTTCACGGTACTGCACACCCGCCTCCAAAGAAACTGCAAACCCAAAAGAAGGACTTTCCAACCTCGAGAGGCGCCTCATTCCGAAGTAGGAGACTCACCACCGCTCATCAAAGCTGGCTGTGATATGAAAAAAAGAGACACACATCAGAGCCACTTTGACGAACAGAGGTGGGACGTCTACGAAATGCAGGCAAAACGGGCGTTGGTCGTCGACGCCGAGTCTCCTCCACACGACCACAACCACGATGCCAATTTGCCGGGCCAGGGTCATCAAAGATGGCTGTGATATGATATCTGACATGACAAACCACAACCAGTTTGATGCCCGGGTGAGAGCAATCTCGAACGAGGGGGGGGGGGGGGGGGGAGGCAAAATGCACACGAACGTACATGCACCCACGTGTTAGGGGTAGGCAGAACCTCGAGCACCAGGTCTTTGCGCAGCGAGAGGAGCCCACCGCTGCACCTCGAAGGAGTCCGATTCGTGTACAGCTCATCAAAGGTGGCTGTGATATGCTGACCAAGAAGGGAGACATTTCACAGTCCCTTTGACGGCTGCACAGGAAAACATTAGCCTGGCCGTTGCCGTGGGAAGGGGAGGCTGCAGCCGCCGACACTGCACGTGCTATTTCCAACAAAGACAAGGTAGTGAGATGGCAATGCAGTCAAACTCATCTCACTACCCATGTCTTTCAGGGAATCAACACTGCAAACTCCTCCCCCTCTGGAATCCACAGTTCCACCACACCTTGGGAGACACAAACACTTCCGAGCAGATGACAGACAAGAGACGCTCACCGTTACTGCCTCCGTCTTGTAGTCGTCCATGTCCGGTTGCGTCAGGTGAACCACGGGCCTGCATATCTGCTCCTCCAACTGTTCTAGAGAAATCAACACAGATCCTTTCAAATCAAACAAAAAACATTGCACGGCCGAGCCACTGTGCCCTCGGATCAAGAATCATACGCACAAAATAAGATGCTGCTCGACTGACATGCACGAAGTGTTGAAAAAAAGTAAAAAGCAACGAGGCAAGTTGCTACAAAATTTCATGAGTTGGTCAAACTATAGCAGTGCGTGCAGGGACATGCACATCACCTTCAGCTGCAGAAAACCCTGTCAACCCCCAAATGTTGAAAACACTAGAGCAAGCAGCATCAAAACGCTCTTATTACCCAATTAGTTACCACACTGCTTAATGTGACAAAACCATTTATGTCAAAGAAATTTTACTGCATTTATAAGAGCACAAAGAAAGCTTTTCATATATATATATATAAAAAAAAAGGATTTCCTAAAAAGACTGAATTCTGTATTTTTAGCTTTTTCTTCTCATACAGTTTTTCATTTTTATAACTATACTTAAAGTAACATAATTTTTAAATAGGCTTAAATACAAGCTTTCATTTGATATATTTCTTATGCCTTAAATAATTGTACATTGAAAGCTAGCTCAATTCAAATTTCACGCATTACTGTGAAAGGTGCAAGATTCAAGAATTTTTATTTTATAAAGTAAAATAATAAAACGCAGTCGTAGTGAACTTTAACTCTTCCATAGAAAGTAATACAGCAGTAAAATAAGTTATAATTGTTGTGAAAAAGATAATCTAAACGTTGCAAGACTCCAGAATGTGTCACGACTAATAACTGCACAAATTGCAAGATGTACCTTCTGCCCTTTCAAAACCCAAAACTCAAAAAGAATGTTTGCAGTTCTAATTTGCAGTTTTGTTCTAGTCACATTTTCCACCAACATATATTTTTTCCAGAAGTTTCTGAGGACCCATTATTTTTTCTTGCACAATTTGAGATGAAACCATTTATAAAGTAATTGCAATCTAGATTATATATAAAATTCAAAAAACCTTGAAATTCTCACCCCCGATAAAGCACTTCTACATTCTCTGTACTTGGCCGTGCATGTTTCCTCACCATTTCAATGTCGCACACGCTACTACAGTTAAACCTGGATATAACGGAATTGATAAAATTTTGCAATAGGGTAATTAGTTATATGGAGGATTTCGTTACATGCAGTTTTCACAGAAAAACTCGTAAAGGACACGTGGAAAGAAAGCGAAAATTAAAAATCCACGTGGGCAAACTTTCACGTCATTTATTTAGTGGAACAGAAGTCTGCAAGCTTGCCTTGTGTCTTTCGCACGAGCGAAGGCAGCACGCAGCGCTCAAAGGACACCAAAGTGTTTAGAGCGCTGCCGTCATCCTGGGAGCCTGCGACCCGGCGTAATTCATCAATGGCATCCAAGACCCCCCCCCCCCCTCGCGGTAGGCACCAAAGGCTGCTCTCGCCTTTGATGGCAATTGGACAAGAATCATTTTAGGTACAGTCTCCGACCGATTATTCGGACTTTGCAAGGACCGAAAAAACGTCTGAATAATAGAGCACTGCGAAAAATCAGCAGATTGAAAAACTTGCCTTTATCATTTCCTAGTGGGCTTAAAGCTGTAAATAGTGCCTTGTTTCAGGTTACGCCTCCGTTTGCGTAGGGCAACTTTCTGTTAGCTTGAGAATCGCTGCCTTCTTTTCTAGCGTTATGGTCGAGTACTTTCTGCCCTTCTTAATGACACATCGCGGCGGCAGAAGAACGGATGGGGCTATGACGTCCAAGCCAGCGTTGTGTGAACGAGATAAGAGGTGCAAAACCACGAGCGCAAAATGGCGACTGGCGACGCGAAGAAATGGGAAAAGCAAAATGATAATGATGATGATGACGTGCAGCTAAATGGAAAAAAAAGGTCTAGCATAGCGTCACCTAGCGGTAGGACTCATGAGTACTCAAGTAGCGCCAGTAGCGCTGCCAAACCAAGCCAATCCATTTGCAGCCAACACAGAATTCAAAATGGCTGCTTCTTGATGGAGTCTTCCGCTGATCGCTCGCGACGATTTTGTCCGAATAATCAAACTTTCGGACTTCAAGCTGTCCGAAACATTAGTCGTGAATACACACTATTTGTATGGGGTAAGTCACGGTTCCGCCTTTAGGTCCGAAATATCAAACAAATCCAAATTGGAGTCCGAAAAAAAAAAAAAAAAATTTAAGATTGCGGCGGAGCGAGTTTGTTAAATTAAGGTTATCCAATGCGAGCGCTTCGTTACATGGAGTTCACAAATACAAGCGCTTCTATGAAGATTGCGTCGGGAAATTGAAAAAATTTGTTAAATAGAGGATTTCATTTTATACAGGTTCGTTACATCCAGGTTTAACTGTATAACAAAAATGCCATTTTACGAAGTGGTCCTCATGAAGTTTTAGGCGCAGTTACATATATTTTGAATTGCCATCTTTCATATGGCAGTTCCACACTTGCCATGACAGCCTCATGCTAAACAAAACCCCTTGTAAACATTTGCCCAGTGCAAAAAAAATAAAAAAGGACCATATACAGTTTTGGGTTGAATTGAGATACCACATATGAAAGGGAAAAAAAAAACAAAAAAACTTCAACACGCAAAAATACCCCCCCCCCCCCCCCCCAAAAAAAAAAAAAAAAAAACATACATTTAAGAACCCGAAAAAGTGTGCAGAATTTAAATATCAAAAGAAACCGAATCGTCAAACTAGTAATTCGAACACTTCAGGATAGAATCGTAAAGCAGGGCAGGTCTGCGCAAGGAACTGTGCCACCAATGCAGGGCCCGAAATGAGTGGCAGAACAGAGCAGCAAAACAAAGTGCGGCACAGCTGGTAACTTACTTCGCTCAATAAGAGCCCGCTCCAGTATAAAAAGCAGCGATATCTGAGTCCTCTTCCTAACCTGAAAAAAGACCATAGAATAGAAAGAGCAAGCAAGCTTCTCACAGACAGTGTGGGCAGAGAGGAAGGCCCACCTGGTTGGCTACATCCGTCAGGTACTGCACAATGGTGGGCACCACATGGTCCCGGACCACCCCCTCCAAGAGACCGCCTTCGGCCGCGCAGAAGCTCGCAATGCTGGGGAGCTGGTCGACAAGCTCTGCCCTCACGGTCTGATCTGCACATCAGACGCCCCTTGAGCCGACGTTGGAGCAGACAATGGCAACATACTCTGTCTGAAGCACCAGAGTGACACCTGTCCCTAATAGGACCTTTCAAGAGCATTTCACAGGTGTGCATGCCCGCTTTGGTTATTGCAACAGATTTATCAAAGAGGCTCATTTATCGAACAGGCAATGCCAGGGAAGGACATACAAGTTTTCCACACATTCGAGCGCCCGGAAGAAAGGCAAGTGTTTCGATGGTGCTATTTCATGCCCAATCCTAGCCTTTGCTTCTTATTCGCTATTTTCAGACGGTGCCCACACGAAATCTGTGCACACAGCTTTCGTTACCAGGTCAAAGAATTTAGAGGATCCCTACAGAAATGACTTCCTCCCGAGAGACTTCACGGTGCTGTTTCGACAGGCACTCCGAGCTTGTTTGTGCAACAATTTACAGATTTACAGGAAAAAAAACTAGATTTAACAAGGTCCTGCTGCGACACTAAACACATACAAGGCCATCTTATGGGAGTAGAAAAAACCGCCAATAAATCTCTCGCTAACCAATCCTTTAGCTAAGCACCGGAATAATTGGCGATGCATATTTCATGGATTTGTTGGAAATTGTTTTTCCTTGTCTGTACACGGGGACACACAACGCAGTACTATCTCCTTGCAACATTTGTACAGAAAGGGTCTATATAGTAGAACCTCCTTGATGCAATTTTGGGAGACGGGAAATAAAACGTACGATCTCGGAAAACTTAAGGGACAGGAATCCCATTCAAGGGGGGGGGGGGGGGGGGGTGCTGGATAGAGATGAGACAGATAGCAAGTGTCATGAAACAATATATTTTACATTTTACGCAAACATTTGTAGGTGTGAACTCGAGTAAGTTCAGAAAAAGCTCGTAATTTGCACCTGGCACTTTGGGTACAAAGGGCACAACGGGCCTGCTATGGCAACGCGCTGGCGGCACCTCCGAGTATTACTCGATACCCGCCGTTTTTTCCCTTGCAGCCGGAAAGACGGACAAGGGGAAGTTGCAGCAAACTTTTCTTTGGACCTAATCGTGTCAGCTATCGTTGCAGGTGGCGTGCTGTGCAGCGAAGAGGCGTTAAGAAGCGACGCCGGGTTGTGGTGCGAGAGTTCAACTTCAAAAATTGTTTTATCGCTTTAAACAATAATTACTTTGATTAAGCTTTTAGCATCAAACGACAATATATTGTTCTTCCAAACCCACCATATTTTGTATTTTTACTTGGACCACTTCAGGGTCGAATAAACGACTGTTTATGCGTCAAAACACTTTTTTGCAACTTCAGGATTTTTGTTTAGATCAAGATATTTAATTGAGCGGTTTTAAAAAGTTTTTTAGAGATTATATACCGGCAGGGCAGCCGGTAAAAAGTTCTATTAAGCCCTGGGAGCAATTAGATATTTTTTTAATAAAATAACAAAAATGTTAAAAATTTCAAAAACTTGTTTTTTAAAAAAAATATTTAAATTAAACAAAACTGCACAAGCCCAACCACATTGAAGTCCAAAGCCGTGCAAATTTAAGAAAAAAAATATTGTTGCAGATTTTTCATCGATTTTTGAGTGATGCCTAGTTTACACTGTTTCTAAAAGTTCAAACCGCGCTCACGTCAAACAATTTTTTTTTTTCTCGTCAAAAATATTTTGGGGCATGGCTACGGACATTGCAGCAAAAGGCCATGAATTTTTTTTTTTAGAAATCGAAGGTGGGTGAGCGCAACATCGGGGAAGTTTGACAACCTCTGGGACGTTTGACATGGAATGACCCACATGACAAACAGAAGATGCAGTGATTTTTCCACTGAAGCACTTTCTTGTGCAAGCATGGATTATATCTATCGGAGGAACAGCAATATGAATTGTTTTTCCAGCAGTCTGGTTAATGACAACACACCTGCAATACAGCCATTTGAAACCCAACCCAAAAGCGCTGCATCTGTGTCCCACTGTCTCCCAGGGTTCAACCGCGAACCAATCATGTCCCTGACACGACAGAGACAGAAAGGTAGACGGGCTATCAAACTGGGGTCTTGGCTCCAACTAATGTATCCCCAGATACGTACCGCAGTCCATCGCCAGCATGTTCATGACAGCCAGCACCGCAGCAACGCTCTCCTGAGAATCCAGCACCAGCCTCAGAGTGTCCACAATGTTTCGGGCCCCCACTTGCCTGCACGCAAGGAAACGGCATCAGCAAGGGAAATGCAAACGGAGCAGTAATGCCAGTCTAGAGATTTCTAGATGGCCACCCAAATCCACTATTCCATGGTACACCACTTTGTCTTTTTTGTTTTAAGGAAATTATATTAATCGAAGCCACCACACAGCGTCATAGAATAGCAGTAATGTGATTGGTACGAGTAATTTTAAAGCATCTTTTAGAGCAGCTACATAACCACTTTGGATGAGCTAAAGCAACTTTTGGAGCACAAGTACGCACTTCATTTTCATTCCCACACTGCAAACATTATGTTAAAATTCACGTGTTGACCTGTCCATCAAAAGACATTGCCTACTTTGCTTTCTCAGTTCTGTGCAACCTTTTGTTAGCATCAATGCATGGCAGGTGCGATTCCTTCAAACGCCTCAAACACAAAACTAGTTAGCTGTTTAACGTGTAGAAGTACCAGGCACGACAACAATATGCCAAGTGGTGAACAGTATGAACTGCTGAGAATGATTATTTTAGGTACGGAGCCCAAGGAAAACCAAATTACACTTATTGGACATAATCTTCCAACAGAATAATATTGAGCACCCAAAGGGGTGTTTCATTGAAGTCCCAAATGTTGTAATAAAGCTGCAATTATGACTTTAAATAAAAGCAAAGCTTCTGTAGTTTGATTATTAACAATGACCTTTTATATGTAGAGCTTCATGATAACAAAAATCGACATGCGAGTGATAAATTAACCTTAGAACCGATTCAGTGGAACTCATTAAGCTTAATCCAAAGTTTCCATCCTCTGCTCGAGCCAATTCAGTTTTAATCTACTCCGTTCGCTCTGCCATTGCGCAGATTGTTGGTTGTTTGCAGTTTTAATGGTGCAAGATCATCAATGGCCATACTGTGCCAAACAAGGTAAGTCAATAAAAAAGGGTGAGTTGAATTAAACTATGGGGAAATAGTTCTATAGCTTGTTTAAAAATCCTATATTTTCAAAAAAATCGAAAAGACATTTGAATGATATCACTGGTCGCTCACCAAGTAGCAGGGGATGGTGAAATGGAATGCGATACTTGAAAAGATCGGGAAAAAAAGAATTTGTGCTGCTGCCAAAGGCCAAAACAAAGAAATCAAATATGAAGAACAATTGAAGGTAGGTGTGGCCAATTCTCAGGCGGCATAGGAGGACCTTGTGGAATCTATCTTTATTGTAAGATGTTTCCCAGGCACCAAGGTCTGGCTTGATGGTGTGAAGCTTATTGTTAATCTCTGAATCCTTTCGGACTGCCACGATTGCAAGACTGCAAGTCTTGTAGGCATTTTTAAGTCTTGGTGGGGGATGCAGGCATGTGACATGCCATCGTGCAGATAAAACTATGCAAAGGTGATAACTAAACAAGAAAGCTGACATAAAAATATAAGCTTATGTTCATTTAAAACTTTACGGAAATGCTCAAGTATCCTTGTTTGCAGATGGTTTGCAAACTTTTCCTCGACGCAAATCCTGCAAGCATTCCATCAACTTCGGCGTCTGCGCGTCAGCGGTACTCGGACCAGAAGTCCCGATTTAGAGCGGGATACGACACCTGGAAGTCGAGGAAAAGTTTGTCTAATTTAATGCGAATTGCCCATTTCAAAATGAAAATCTTTTGTATGTTCCTGAAAGAAAAAATGAGTAGGCAAGGGGTTAAGTATATTTCTTTATCAAGGACATGTTGGCTTACATTTAGACAGTTCATCAATGCCCACATGCCCCCACCTTAAAATATTTTCTTCGTAAGCAACTTTTCGAGACAAGTACCGTGCAAAGTGGTACCATGCAAAGTGGAACTCTGAGGCTACTCCTTTTGAGCAGCCTTTCAGGAGGCAAAAATTCATCAATGTTTTTTTTTATCGTCGTTGGAGTCCATGTTTATTGGTAATTTAGTAATTGCTCTACTTCAGCATCCATCAGGGAGCGCAAGGTTACAACATGCATGTGCCATTTCGGAAAAATAAAGACGGAAAGAGAAGTCTCATACACAAAACTTTCCACAATTCATCAACAGGTGAAACCAAAAGTTTTTTTGTTTTTTTATATTGCTTGTTTGCAGATAACTCACAATGTAACGAGAATTTACCACTCCGAGTTTAACTGAGCAGTGGGAAGCCAATATGTATGCGACAAACACACTCTGGCACAGCAGGACATGTGAAGTGGCCACTACAGTCAGAGGATTATGGTTGACATTTCATTAAGATGATACTGCTGCACTTTTACACAACGGGCACTGTGTAGTCACAGAGTGCAAATGAGATGGGTGTAACATTCCTAGGAAGAGGGGCTACATCTATCACAAGTCTCGTGTCATGTACTCGTGAAAACCTATTTGACATCAAAACGTTTCGGCCCAAAGAGTCATTATCACCGCCCTGTAACCATTTTATGGGTCGGAAAGTGGAATCTCTACTCTATAGTAATGTAAAATGTACACTGGACTGTCGCTAAAATGCCCCAAAACAAGAAATTCAAGAGTTGCAAACATTTGGGCCATTGTATATGGAAGCTTTAGCTGCCAGAGTAGCAACAGGACGTAGAAAGATCTAGAGGCAGAACAGCGGAACCTTCAATTGTAATCTTCATTTTCGGTCTAAGAGGACCGTGCTGCTAGGGGTCATTTTATTAGTATGACTAATTTCATCTCCCCACCCGCCTATTGCAGAGTGGTAAAAATAGAGATGTCGCGAACCTTCCGAAGTTCGAGTTCGAAGAAAGGTTTAGAAAATTTAGAATCTCACTAAGGTTCGAATTTGAAAATTTTGTCAACTGTAGAACCCCGCTGAGGTTCTAATTCGAATAATTAGAAAATATCAAGGTTTCTGAAAGTTTGAGTTGATTTATAATTTTTTTGACAATCGTTCAAAAACTTTGAATTTCTTTAAAGGTGCGGTGCAACAATTTTCAGACTTGCCAATTAACCGCAGGAATTAATCTGTTACCTGCAAAATAAAAAACATTACTCCATTTTTTTTTTTTTAGAATACAAATATACTCTATCTGATCAAAGTATAAATGCAAAATATTGAAAACTTCATGATATCATCCCTGCTCATACATATGTACTTAAGCCCTTACTAGAACAAGTATGACTAAATTAAATAAAAAATAAAAAACTTTAGATAAATAATAAAAAATGAAGTGACAAATAATACTAAACTTATAATAACTTAATGAAATAATTAAAAAGAAAAAAGAGGAAGTGACTGACAAGACTATAAGCAAAACCATAAAATAAGAGGTTTACCTTACAAGTTAAATGCATGGATGCGTTCTAGCACAATGAACGGTTTAGAGTTTGCACGACTCAGGAGGACATTCCCACTGTTCTTGTCCTCCCGCAGGTTTGCTGTTTGTGTGCCAGTGCGTGTATTTGCCACGTACATGTTTACAGGTGTTTACACAACGTTTACGGATGAGGCAACCAATTATCGCGTTTACGACAGGAATGAGAAGAGCGGAAAAAACCGCTAAACATGCAAAAAAAAAAAAAAAAAGGGCCAAATGTATGTTTTGTTTTGCAGAGTTGTTATTGGTTTCCCCAGAGATTAGATGATACGTGAACACATGCCAGAAGGCTCCTAGGTATGTTTACATATAGTAAAGTACGCCCACCCAAAAGTGAAAAGATAAATGGCGAAAAATAACAGCAAATTTTTATGAAAAAATTGGTGATAAGCACGGGTGCGATAAGTACGCGGGAATTCGCCATGAACTCCAGGTTAGGGCAGAAGAACGCGGACGCAGCGCATTCGTGCTTCACAGTGCGATATACACGCAAGAAGTCGCTACCTACAAACTCGGACGACTCGGGAACCAATATCACGCGCGCAAATCGCGCGCAAAAAAAAAAAAAAAAAAAGAAAAAAGAAAAGCGGGAACCGAGTTTTAGTAGTTGGCATATCACGGTGCGATAAGCACGAGGGAACCCGCCACGAAGCAACACAGCCTATGAGATAAGGCCGTAGCGCTGACATGTTTTGCGTCATCAGCGAAGGCGAAGGCCAACGCTGGCCACAGATTGAAAAGGAGCGATCGGTTTCACGTTTGAGCCGAACATTAGACAGTTTTAGTAGATCGTTCCGATACCTCCGATAGCCCCGATAACGATACTATGCATGCGCAAGGGAGGCGGTGGCGGAGTATCGGGTATCGTTATCGGAGTCATGGGAACGATCTACTAAAACTCTATTGACGCGATCGTCGCGTTTCATCTGTGCCCAGCGTTGGCCTTCGCTGGTGAACATCTCATTCAGCACTACGGCTTTGTTATACACGAGGTGTCGGGCGAACAGGCCGAGGCTGCACATCGAGCGACTGATGCGATTCCCGTCGGACATCGCGTGATCAATATCCGCTATGCACGATTTAATACGTGCGATATGTCGAATACACGCGGCCATTCTCAGTGCCACTGCTCAAAAAAAAAAGTAAACGACGAGTTCCGAAATGCGGACATGCATAGGTGGCTTTTGGATACATGGTTTTGCGCAAAAAAGACATACACGAGAGAAAGAAACAAACACGAGCGCATTGTTTCTCTCTCTTGGGTCCGTCTTTTTTGCGCAAAACCATGTATCCAAACGTTCACCATTTCGCCCAACAAACTATTTTATAGGTGGCTTTGTCAGAAGTACCCACACGCCGTTGTTGGCTGTTGTGACACTGACGGCACAAAGCAACGCGCCCAAACAAGCGCTTCCAAGGCATTGGTACGGGCAAAGGAAATAAACCCCTTTCATTGCGTGTTGCTTGTATTCGTCCAAAGACGGTATGTTTCTGAAGAACAATGAAAACATTTACTTTTCCCCGTGTTCGAAACGGACGGCCAACTCACGCAGTTGTCCCTCTTGCTGCTGGTGCTTGACGGCTCATCAACATGAAATCATGAAACGAAGCACTGTCGATTTACCTGGCCCGGAATTAATCATGATCATTCTCGTTAGACGAAAATAAGCAATTGGCG